ACCTCACACCTATTAGGATGGCACTATCAAAAAACAAAATAACTGTTGGCAAGAATGTGGAGAAATTGGAACCTTTGTGCCCTGTTGGTAGGAATGTAAAATGGTGCAGTGCCTATGGGAAACAGTATGGTGGTTCCTCAAAAAATTAAAGGTAGAATTACCATGTAACCCAACAATCCCACTTCTATATATATATCCAAAAGAGTTAAAAAGTGGGGACCCAAAGAGTTATTTGTACATATACGTTTATAGCAACATTCATAATAACCAAAAGGTAGAAGCAACCCAAGTGTTCATCAGCACACGAATGGGTAAGCAAAACATGGTGTATACATACAAAGTGATATTATTCAATCTTTAAAAGGAAGGAAATTCTGACACATGCTATAACAACATAGATGAACCTTGAGGACATCATGGTAGTCGAAATAAGCTAGTCACAAAAGGACAAGGTATGATTCCACTTACAGGTACATGTAATTCATAGAGACAGAAAAGCTTCATGACATTGAATTTAGCAACGATTTCTTGGAATATGACAATGTATTCAGATTCATAGAGACAGAAAGTAGACTGGGGTTGCCAGGGTTTTAGTTTTACAAGATGAAAAGAGTTGTGTGGATGGATGGTGGTGATGGTAACACAGTGTGAATATATTTAGTGCCACTGAGCTGTACACTAAAAAAGGTTAAGATGGTAAGTTTTGTGTTATGTGTATTTTTACCACAGTTAAAAACCAAAAACTAGCCCTGGTGTTCAGCCTGGCCTTCCCAAATCATGAACTTTCTGCCTTCTGTCTCTAGTTCTCTGCCCTTCCCATCCACTTTCCATACACACCACCCTGCCTTCCACCAGTCTTCACTATGCCCAGCCCACTTGGCCTCAGCCTGGCATTTTGCATACACTCTCATTGCCCACTCCCAGGAGAGAGGGCTTAAGTACAAGAGATCCTGGGCTCCCACCACCATAGTACCTTCTCATAACACCCACCACTAAGAATGTACCATCAAACCCTTCACCAAGCAGACGTGGAAAAGTTTCAGACCTTCCACCAACCCTTGTGCTTGGGAGTGATGGGTAAATGGAGAGGACCTAAAGCCAATGTGTTACATTTGACTCTCCCCACACAGTGTGCTGGCGCAACAGAAAAAAACCACCCCAGCATTTGTTGAGGGTCTTAGTTGGAATTCTAGGCACTGCATTTACTCCAGCTCTCTGCCTCCTGCCTTTGGACAAAAAAGTTCATTTCCCTTTTTCTGATTCTTACATCTCCCTTCAGAGTTCATGCTCATCTTCTTACCTATTACCTTGGCTTCCCTGCTATTTCAATCCAAATATCCCTTCCAACTGTGGTCCCTAAGGCTTGGTCTTAAGGGGTGTCACAAATATGATACACATGGCAAACCTGGGAGGTAGGAGGCAATATAGAAAGGTCCGTGCTACCAATTTCAATATTTCCTTGACTTTAGAGAATATCTAGATTCTTTAGAATCTGTGACCAAGTTAAAAGTTTCGGTCATATAAAATGAGGCTATACACACTTTCTGTTTTGCTCTTTTTTATTTAAAAAGTTTATTATTTTGTTAGTTGCTTATCTCTGCCCACTCTCTTCTGGACCTAATTATCCTAGATCCTTTCTGTACTCAAAGGTGGTTTGCAGCATCAGCATCACCAGGGAGGTTGTTAGAAATTCAGCTCAGTCCCCATCCCAGACGTTTTAAATCAGGATCTGCATTTTAACAAGATCCCCCGGTAATTCATATGCATATTGAAACTAGAATTGTTCTAGAAAGCTTCTAACTCCTGTTGGAGCAATGGATCTCACGACCTTAGCTGTTCATTAGAAGCACCTGGAAGCTCTTAACACGTTTTGATGCTTCAGGTCCCACCACCTGATTCTGATTTTATCCGTCCACGGGGGGCCCTGGGAATTGGTGTTTGTTTGTGATTCTCTCAGAGACTTTGATACTTAGCCAGGGTGGAGGACCATTGAGGGTATGACTTAAAGGAAACTGTCACATAGAATTCCATGGATTTTGAACTGATTTGGAGTTGTAAAAAAGTAGAGTCAGATAGTTAAATCTGAATAGGTTTTGAACCTACATATATGAATATTAACTTGAAACTACAGATTATATACTCAGGAAAGGTCTTCTTAGTATATCAAATCTCTTAACTTCCTGGGACAAAAAAAGAAATATAGTGAGGGGAGAGAGAAGCACAGAGGAGGAGAGAGAGAGAACGAGAGATTAATAAAATACATATCAGAAAACCTATTGATTGTATGTATAAGCAATTTCTACTTAAAAGTCTTCCTCTCTTATTCCTTATCTGTGTCTTATTATCTTTTTCCTCAGTCCTTAGAGTGTCTCAACAGCTCTCTTCTATCAAATGGCGTCCAGGGCTTTCCACCCAGCCCATGCTCCTGTCCCAGCGCCCAAAGCTGGTGCTGCTTCCTGCTGCTGCCGAGGGCTCAGGTACGGGGTACTGGTGGGAGCAGCCGTTACTATCACTTTAGCTGGGCTTCCCTGGTGGCGCAGTGGTTGAGAGTCCGCCTGCTGATGCAGGGGACATGGGTTCGTGCCCCGGGCCAGGAGGATCCCACATGCCGCGGAGCGGCTGGGCCCGTGTGCCATGGCCGCTGAGCCTGCGCGTCCGGAGCCTGTGCTCCGCAATGGGAGAGGCCACAACAGTAAGAGGCCCGCGTACCGCAAAACAAAAACAAAAACAAAAACTGTCACTTTGGCTGCTGGTGCTATTTGGTTGATGCCCCAGGAAACTCACTGTACTAGTGTACTCTGCCCAGGCATGCTAGAATCCCAGCAGTGAGGACCTCAAGTTGTCCTTATACACATTTCTTGCAAATCAGCCATGGGGGCATGACGTAACGGCCCCAACACACATGCACTAGAACAACTTTAGTATCACCACACCAATCTGCAACTTCCAAAATTTCTTTAGCCTCTTCCCATGTTTTTTCTTTTTCATTTGTCCTTTCAGAGGAGCCCAGCCAGAATTGATCATAATCTAAATGGGTTTACGAGTAGAGAACTTCACCTGCCAAGTGGGTCTTACTTTTCCTGAAGACATGTTTTTTCTTTTGTGATCATGCGTGAGTAGATGCTTTGGCATAAAGCTTATTTCAGGTGCGAAAGGAGGCAGTTGATGATGCAGATAAGAAGGTAGAATTAGTAAAATAGTCATTTTTATGGATATAATATATTTCAAGATAGGGTCCTAATAACTTAATTTCTCTGCAACAAATGTACCCTAAATGACTGTGAGTCATTTTGGGTTTGTAATTTCTAGCTCCTAATTAAATATGAGCAATTGAGCAAGTCAATCTTTTTCTGCCTCAGAGTATTTATTTGTAAAATCAGGGAGTTGAACAAAGAGTCCGATAAGGTCCCTTTCAGCTCTAAAAGTCAATGATTCTATAAATTCTCAGCTAAATTATATATTATCAAAAGGCAAAGACAGCATCTTCTATTCTGTCCCAACTCCTGGTTTTGCCATCATATGGGAAATAACAGAAATAAAGGCAATTAAAAATAGGAAAAAAAAATTTTGCCATCCTAACATTTGCAAGTGTTTTCATTTTATGTTCCATTCTGGTCCTTGAGCATATGTATACATAATTTTATATAATTACAAATAGGTCAAATTTTATATTTGACTCACCTTACTTAACATTATCTAACGTTTTTATATTATCATTATCACTCATAATTATAGTTTAAATGGCTACATAATATTCCATTTCATTGATGTACCATAGCTTACTTAAGTATTTCTGTATTTATAAATTTAGATTGCTTTTAATATTTGATAATATAAAAATGCTGCAGCAAACTTTATTCATATGAGTCTTCTTTTGAATAACTTTCAAAGAATAAATTCTAGGGATGTGATTACTGAGTTCAAGAGAGTCTCTTTACAGTTGTTTATAAGTACTGACAAACGGATTTCCTAAAAACTTACAATGATTTACATTGTTTTCACTATATCTGAGAGTGACAGTTTAACCACAGCCTCATCAAAGGTGTAGTATGAAAGGATACTTACTGTCAATGTACATTTCTTTGATTACTGGCAATCTTGAACATTTTTCCATTTGTGATTGCATTTTATCTTCTGTGAATTTTCTCATTGTCCCTTTTTCCATTTATCTGGCTGTGCAACTGTGGATGAGTCACGTAACCTCTCTGTGACTCTCTGTTTTCTCATTTGTAAACAGACTAATAATAGTGCCTATCTATAGAGTTATTGTTGGATTAAATGGATTTCTAAATGTAAAGCATATAGAAGAGTACCTGACACATGGAGGGCCTTCAAAAAAAAGTTAGAATTAGAGCTAGTAGTAGCACTGGTATTAGTTACCTAATAATATATTAGTGATTTTCTTTATAATTTATATGATTTTTTCTAGTTCTTGTATAAATACATACCTATCTTTGATTAACTTATAGAAGACCTTTTTATATAATGTAGATGTAAGTCCTCCAGTCTACTGGGTTTGGTAAGGTAGCTTCCCATTTCTTGTTTTAATTTCTGTATTTTGCATGTGTATGTGTACACACACACAAGCATATGAGTCCATACTTTCTCACAAATCCAGAAACACAGTGTCTATGCAAAAGGGGTAGCTCATAAAAATGTTTATTGCAGACAGTGCCTAGAATGGCATGCCCAGCTCACTTGAAGAACTGTTCAACCAAGTCATTTAGAAAAATAACAAATAAACAAAACCAGAAGCAAAACCAAACCACATACATACACTCACTTATAAAACCAAAACCAAAAACAAACCATGTAAATACATGCACATTGCAAATAAACAAAACTGTGGAGGTTTTAAGCCAGAGAGATGAAAGATAGCCAGATGTAAGCCATGGAAATTTCTCTTTAAGAGTAATTGACTCTTTGTGTGCAATCGTTGCCTGATTTCTGGCACACTGAGATCTGACTTAGACCACTCAGGAAAAACAAAAAGGTGGCATCGATAAATAAATTGCCTTTGGGAGTAAGAGAACTCAGAGTCCACATCAGCATGGATGGAAGAAATCCTTAGGGGGTGAATTCAGAAGGGATATAGGGAGCTCAGAAGAGCAAAGTTAGCCATGTTCAAGACCCAAGTTAATCGTCTATACAGTGAATGAATTGAAAGAAAAGGATAAAGAGAAATTTAAAAATAGTAATATGAGTAGTGGGAGGAACTGAAAAAGCCCGCTGCCCAGATGAGGATTGGAAACTATTTAAACTGGATAATACAGTATGTGTTTTGGCTCTGAGAAAACAGAAGTTGAACTTTTGAGTAGTAATCAGGACTTGGTCTCAAAGTATTTGCAAATAGTGCTGATATGAAGAACAGATGCTGACATTATTGCCAGTGGAAATCGCAACGTGATAGTTGGAGTGTGAGACCGAAAGAAACCACAGGGAATTTTTGTGGAAAGCTCGGCATCAAAAATGATTTATGGTTGACTTAAGAAGGAGACAAGGAAAATAAGGCTGCAGTGTATATACCATCTGACGGCTGCAGACAAAGGATGTAAACAGCCATAGCTCTCCAACCTCTTGGAAATCAGAGCTCTGCTCATACAGAAAGGCTCCAGAATGTTTGTCTGAGTTAAGCACATACTTCTTTTTTAGTATCTAAGAATAGTTATCCTCCTTTCCTCTCTCATTACTGTTTGGGTATCCTTAAAAATCCTCACCAGCCATTAAGCACTGTGAAATTACCCAAAGAGATCTGCAGCTTACTTTATGACCTCCTAAACAGGATCAGAGGAACCTCGCACAAGGCCCTAGGCTTGAAAGGTGAGCAGCTCTATTTTGTTATTATTATATGTGTGAAGT